TATCCCGCCTCGATTACTGCAACTCCCTCCTCACTGGTCTACCGTTACACAGGCTATCCCCCCTTCAGTCTATTATGAATGCTGCTGCTAGACTCATACACCTTACCAACCGATCAGCAACTGCTGCCCCTCTCTGCCAATCCCTTCACTGGCTTCCACTAATCCAACATATAAAATGCAAAATACTAACCACAGCTTACAAAGCCATCCACAACACTGCCCCTAGTTACATCACCAACCTCATCCACAGATACCGCCCAAATCGCCCACTCTGCTCCTCCCATGATATCTTCCTCTCTAGCTCCCTCATCACCTCCTCCCACGCTCGCCTCCAGGACTTTTCCAGAGCCTCTCCCATCCTCTGGAACTCCCTACCACAGCATGTTCAGTCAGCCCCCACCCTTCTGCCTTTAGGCAATCTTTGAAAACTCACTTCTTCAGGGAAGCCTACCCCACCTCCACCTAAGAAGTGTACTTAAATCACCTCCGCCAGATCACCCCCCGCAACTATCACCTTTTGTATCACCTCCCCCTTCCTTTAGATTGTAAGCTCCACGAGCCGGGCACTCCTATTCCTTCTGTACTGAAAAGTATTGTAATTGTACTGTCTCCCTTATATTGTAAAGCGCTGTGCAAACTGTTGGCGCTATATAAATCCTGTATAATAATAATATAATAATAATACTAATTGTTGGGCACATTTTCCTCTCCCATGTAGCTGCTGCTGGCTGAAAAAGGGGATCTCTTGGCCATGCTGGTGCAAACTGAAAATAGGCAAGTAACACATCTTTTTTACACAGGTTAGTCAGCATAGGTGTGTGGCGCACCCCCCTAAGAAGCTGCTTGTCTAATGGGCCCCCAGACATTGGTTCCTTCTCAGGTTAGTTGGACTACCAAAAAAAGGAAAGAAAATACCCAGTTCAACTTTCCAGCCAGCTAACCAACAACAATTGTGGGTACACTGGCCACCCTGGCCACCACTGTGCTATGTACTGGGTGTCCAGTGCGCTCCCGTGCCTTTAAGGAGGGGTGGGCTCCCTCAGGTTCACCTGCCCTTGATCTATCCTTTAAATACATGTGCCTCCACTATGAGGGCTCTCAAAATTTGTAGACTTAGGACCACAGAATATCAGGGTGCCGTGACAGTGCTCTGTGGCTTACGTATGTATTTGCAAATGTGTGCTAACTAAACCCCTGTTTTTAAACGCACATTGTTAGACAGGTTAATTTGGTTGTTGGCTAGCTGGCTGGCAAGTTGAACTGGGTATTTTATTTCCTTTTTTTGAAATGCGATGCCTGTCCATGTTCCTTGCTGTAAAAGCCAGTTATAGACTTGTGGCAGTCACGACCTTTTTGTGTAGTTGGGCTACCACCCTTACCACTCTGACATACCCCACTCAATGGAATGAACAACACCAAATTAGATGAACATTGTGTGTTTTAATAATAAATCGGTCAATTAAAGCAAGGTAATACAAACTGACCAGAGTGACCAATATCTATACAGATTACTTCTATACCAAATTTGTACACAGAGAGCAACAATCAAAAGTAGCTGGGCCTAGGATTTAACAGGCACCCAATCAGCCTAATCTGTAACAAGATCACCTAGAAAACGGATAGTATAAACCCCTGGAGGTTACGCTGCCTTCAGATCCTGAAGTGACTCTGCTAGATCCAAATCTGCCTACAGGACTCCACTATGCAAAGAAGGCAGAGGTTGGCAAAGTCTATGCATATTACTATGGGACAGAAAGGGATTGTCTCAAAGAGAATAGTTATTTTTTCCAGCTTTGTTGGGGCCCTTACGGTGGTGCACAATTGTTGATGTTTAGTGGCTTCCACTGCTTCCAGTTCAAGAGGACAGAAGTTTGAGAAAGGGTTTGGTGAATAATTTGCAGAAGGACTCAAACAGTAGTGAAAAAGAACATGCAACAACTTCAGAGAGAAGTTAAAGTAGTTCTGAATGAATGGGGGTAATAATAGGTAGATGGTATGGCAATGCTTAGAAGCAAAGTAAGAGAAGCAATATCTAAGGAACGAGGGGACAAACTATGTTGAGCTGAAGTATCATTCCCAGCTATGCAGTGTGTATAATGAGTTGACAACCCTCTCACCAATCCTGCACTTCAGCTGTGGATGCTGACAAGCAGAGGGGCCCCTCATGGATCAATGTCTTGAGCTGCATGAACCTGCACTGTACTGCTAGAGATGCAGGAGAAGACTGGGAACCTGCTCTGTACTTCTGGAGATGCAGAAGAAAACCAGCGAATCTACTCTGTACTGCTGGGGATGCTGCTGCTTAGGCCACGATGGAAGGCCAGTGCCCCAAGGTCTCAGCACTCTAGCCTGGATGTCTTCTTCCTTTCTTGGTCTGGCACCAAGTGGAGGGGAGGAGGGAAAGGATACCTGGATTCCAGAATGTAATTGGTAAATAAATCATCTTCCCATACTCAAGATGGCCACAGCTAGAAATGCTAGAGCGGGGTGGAGTTTCAAAGTGATTTCTCACAAACAAAAAAAAATCATGGAGACATAGATGGATGAGTTTGATTTTATGCCTTTTTTTTTACATTTCTTCAGTTGCTTCCTGGTTTCTGGCCTAGGCCAAAATGATGTCATACATCCCAGGAGTTTTCATGGTCATTTTTTCTTCTTTCACCTGGAGGATATGTTTTCTCAGCTAAGCACACCCTCCTGTCTGCATGCCTAAGATAAGGGCAGATGAATACCAGGCAGTAAAACACTACATGAATCATCTGGCCGTGGCTACAAATGCTAGGGGGTGTTTTTTAAAGTGATATCTCAACGAAATAAAGCATGGAGACATGGAAGAATGGGGGAGTTTGCTGTGAATATCAAAAATGAATGAAATAGCATTTCCAGTTTCTGGTGCTCAGATACAGTTTAGTTCTGCTTTAACTGCAGTGGAAAGAGTTGCGTCACCATCGTATGTGCTGCCTGATAAGACCAGGGCTGGTGCTTCCACTAGGCAAACTAGGCAGCCGTCTAGGGCACAGTGCCACCTAGGAGCGCCTGGGCGCAGCGCAGGCCGGCACTTTCTCTGTGTGGGATGCCATCATGTCATGAATTATCTTTCAGCTAGGAGGAGGGCGGGCAGAGGGAAGGAAAAAAGGATAAAGGAACATCCCAGTTGTCTGGGATCAGTGTAGCAGCTGAGCTGCTGCTCCTTCCAGTCTTACTCTCAGACTCAGTCCCCCCTACTTCAAGCCGGCTGGCGTCTGCTGATCACTGTGGAGTTCCAGCCCTTCTCTTCCCATTCATTAGCGGAGGTGGAACTGCGCCTACGGAGGAAGGTAATGTCTAACTCTGATGCCTTGTGTCTGTGTGAGTGTGACCATCACATGTGCAATGTGTCAGTGAGTGATGACATCATCATGATCCCACAGTCTGCTCTTCTAGTGCCTGCTGATCTGTGTCAGTGTTGGTGGTGGTGTGTTGTGTCGGATCTGTCACTCTATGGAATCGCTCAGTTCAGAATAAGTCCTGGAGCTAGATGTGCAGTATAGGCGGAGGGCCTGACATGACTAGGTTAGCAGGATAGGCGGAGCATCATAGGGTTAATAGAGGAGTTTTGGGTTTGAAATGGGAAGTGGTAGCTGATTGGAGGGGGCTTGGGTGGGGCTTAAGAGGGGCCAGGCGGCTTGGGGAGTTAGTAGGGAGGTGCCAAAGTGGTCGGAGTCAGTCAGAGCTGGGACAGAACAGGACAAGTCTCTCCCGCCCTCCCTCCCGAATGGTTGTTTGACAGCTCTGTGTTCGTGGGGCTCTTCTTTATTGGTCCTTTCTGACTTTGCAGCGGTTCTGGGGTTGTTTACTGGATGGGCGTGTTCCTGTGTTTTGGGGGGTTTGCTTGTTTTCTGGGTTTCTTTTGTCATGGTAGCTGGCAGGGGTCTCAGGGTCTTGGAAGGCAGTGACGGTTTTTATTACTTTGAAGAATGGTGGGTTGGGCCCATCACAGGTATGGGTATACCTAACCTAGAAAATGTACTGCAGTAATGGTGCAGGAGTAAGTTGGCTGTATCAAGGGTAATGTTAGGGAATTGTCCCCGAGTCGGTATATTTGCGGCTGGGGGCCTTGAAGTCTATGTTGGTGGTAGATACAGCCGGTTGGTCGATATATTAGTCGCCTTCTAAGACCCTAGACTTTAATGAGGTAATCCAGAGTAACAGTAAGGGGATTAACGATTAGATGAGTATTACGAAGAATTTGTATTTTAAAAAAATTTTGTAAACTTGTTTAATAAAATGACTGCTATGGCCTTTAAACTCCAATGCGGGTCAATGTAGTTTTTTTTGATTGTGGGAGGTCACAGGTTTAGTTGGGGGAATTTAACCACTTCCAGTCCGGACACTTTCACCCCCTTCCTGTCCAGGCCAATTTTCAGGTTTCAGCGCGCTATCACACTTTGAATGACAATTGCGCGGTCATGCAACACTGTACCCATATGAATTTTTTAGCATTTTTTTGAGACCGATAAAACTTTATTTTGGTGGTATTTATTCACCGCTGGATTTTTATTTTTTTTGCTATATAAATGAAAAAGTCCAAAAATTTGAAAAAAGTGTTTTTGTTTATACAATTTTGCAAATAAATAATATTTCATCATAAATCTTGGCCAACATGTATTCAGTTATCTTTTTATTAAAAAAAAAATAACCCAAATTAGTTTATAACCAAACATTATAATTTTTTAAAAACATTTTAATTTTTTTTTAGATCATTATGGTTTTTTTTTTTTTGGTTTTTTTTTACATACAGTCACCCTAGCAGTACAGTGTTACCATGGTGACACTGTGGGGGTGATGAAGATTTTTTTTTTTTTTTTTTACACTGATTGCTTTTATACCCATAAAGGCTGTAAAAGCAACCATTTCTCCATCTCGCTGGCTGCATTCTTGCAGCCATTGAGAAATACTTTGTGAGCTGTGATTGGTCACAGCTTGTCACATGGTACAAGGCTGTTGTGAATAGCCCTGTACCATGTGACCTCTGTGATCATTCACAGATTTAACACGTAGTAAGCAATGATGTCAGAAGTGACATCTTGCTTACTACTATTCATGTGATTACTGATTGGTCAATCAGTGATCACATGATTGGGACCTCACACAAAGGTCCCATCCGACGATTGGTGTTCCACTGTGTCCGGAGGACACAGCGGGCACCTGGATCGCGGTGTTGCGCGCTCCCAGGGAGCTCGCACAAGCAGGGGAGGGGAGGCCGTTTATATACAGCTGGACGGGAAGTAGTTAAAGGTTATGAGCAGCTGTAATATCTGCTATACCTTAGTCAAGGTGTTCTCTATGTGTGTGTATGTGAGGGCTGGGCTGCTTGCTGTCACAGCATTTTACCTCCCCCCATTGCCAGGGGAATTCCAGCCTGGGATCTTTCAGAGTGTGGATCCATCATCTTCCACTCACTATCCACACAACTATCACCCGTCCACTGCCAGCCACAGTCAGTCCGTGACACTGATTTTGTCTATCTTATGGAACTTATTTTTGCAAATTAAAAGAAATTTAGCAGTGTTCTGGTAAGTTAATATTTTCTATTGTTTTAAAAAAATTAAAAAATTTTTTTTGGGGGGGGGGGGGGGGGGGGGGTTTTAGGTAGCTGGTCTTGCCCAGGGTGCAAAATAGTCTAGCACCGATCTTGGATAGGACTGTGTAACTTTTAGGACTGGATGGACAAAAAAAGAATCATCTTCAAAATATGTTTTTTTAACCGTGCAGTTAGAGGTTTGCCTGGTGTTTGCCTTTAATCATCTTGCTGGTTGACTTCACTTGCTGCCTGGAGTTGCTCTTGTAGCTGGACCTGATTAACATGCTTAATACGTTTCAGATAAAAGTGCAGACAACTGTACAGAGCCATGAGTACAGCACATTATGAGCATCTTTGATCTCGCTCACTCGGGTGGCCTGATCTGTCCCTATCAGTGAGATCGTCATTACTGCTAATAACAGCAGCCAACTCAGCATCTCCAGAATCCACTGAACCCAAATCACTGCAAAAGAAAACTGTTATATTTTCATTACCGGACTCAGAAAACATCCAATTTCATCATATTCAATGTCAGCAAAAATCTTTCTTTTCCTTCCTCTCGTTCTGAGGAGTGACAATATCACCGAAGCGCCGGCCTGTAAGCCTTCATTTACTGTAAAATCCAGCAAAGTGCTGATTGTTACATTGTAGCTCGTGTTATTTTCTGCTAGAAGAAACATTTCTGATATCCATTGATAAAGCGCTCATTTGTATGCAGCTGCTACCGAAAGATCCAACCCCACGCAAATTGCTTTTCCAGCGCGCCGCCAGCCGCCCTCACTTCCAAAATATAGGTATTTCCAACTGCTACAACAAAGGCCCTCTTCAGGCTTCCAGACTGTAAAAGGAATAGTTCACAATGGAGAGGAGAGATGAAGAACAAAATGCTGTTTTCAGGAGTTTAAAGTTGTAACGGAATTGGACCCCGGCTGCACTAGGGTATGTCCATTAGACTCCCGCTTCCCTGTCCGAACACAGATTCACGGACATCACCGCTGACCATACAAGACGAGACAGCACCGGACTTGTATTAAGACACGAAATAGATTGGACCAGGCTTCTCTTAAGACAGGAAGTCAATTGCTTTACTTTAACACAAACACAAGATATATACACAGGGCGCGGAAATACAACCAGGAACAGGAAACACATCATCAGGCCACCCCATCAGGGGGAAGGGCTGCAGGAAACACCCCCCACCAAAGCAAGACACAAAACAATGGGATGCAGCACCTGGCAGTGAACAATGAACAATCCCCACACCAATATTAGACCATTTCACCCTGTACCCCTAACAGGCACAGGGTTCCTTACACACAAGAGGAATATGGGGAGCTGATACAGGGGTCCCCCCACCCCCAAAAGTCACTATCGTCACAAAAGTGTTAGTCCGCTAACAATGGTTACTTCAGTTTTAGGCTCCGTTCACATATCGCATAGCGAGAACAAGTATTCCCGCGCATCATTTTTTTTTTTTGTGTAATGGCAAAAGGGCATAGGGCAGCCCTTTCACTTCAATAGGCTGCCCTATGTGCTTCTGCTGCTTTTTAGGCGACAAGTGTAGCGTGATTTTTGCCGTGATTGCTGCTCAATTCTGTCCGGAAAGACGTCATTTCTGATGAAACGTGTTGAGCGGAGCTACATGCTGACCATCATCATGTTCTCAGAAGCTCGGCAGCTGAGCCAGTGCAGATGCTTGTTTTTACTACACAGTGACTCTTCTTGTCTATGTAAGTGCATCTTATGGCCTCTTTCACATGGGCATTCCATATGTTCGTTTTTCCTCTGTCCGTTTACAGATGAAAAATAGGGCATAGGGCAGCCCTTTCGCTTCAATAGGCTGCCCTACGTGCTTCTACTCCTTTTTGGGCGACAAGCTTAGTGTGATTTTTGCCGTGATTGCTGCTCAATTCTGTCCGGAAAGACGTAATTTCTGATGAAACGCGTTAATCGGAGCTACATGCTGACATCATCATGTTCTCTGAAGCTCGGAAGCTGAGCCGGTCCAGATGCTTCTTGTCTATGTAAGTGCATCTTATGGCCTCTTTCACACGGGCGTTCCCTATGTCCGTTGTTCATCTGTCCGTTTACAGATGAAAAATGACTGGAAGGGAGTGGTGCCGATGTGGGGGGGGGGGGGTCGTTTCTGGAGGGGAGCGCGAGACACAGCGGAACACAGATCGCTGTACGGGACCTCTGTGCGAGGGTCCCAATCATGTGATCACTGATTGGCCAATCAGTAATCACATGAATAGTAGTAAGCAAGATGTCACTTCCTGACTTCATTGCTTACTCTCGTGTGAAATCTGTGAATGATCACAGAGATCACACGGCACAAGGCTATTCACAACAGCCTTGTACCATGTGACAAACTGTGACCAATCACAGCTCTCACAGTATTTCTCAACGGCTGCAGAAATGCAGACAGAGAGAAAGAGAAATGATTGCTATTACAGCCTTCATGGGTGTAAAAGCAATCAGTGTAAAAAAAAAAAAAAATAAATCTTCATCATTCCCCAAAAGTAGTACAGTGTCACTATGGTGACACTGTACTGCTAGGGTGACAGTATGTTCGAAACAAAAACATAAATAATAATAATAAAAAAAAATAAAAAGTAATACATTTTTTTTTTAAATTATGGTTTTTGGTTATAAACTAATTTGGGGTTGTTTTTTTTTTACTAAAAAGATAGCTGAATACATTTTGGCCAATTTTTAGGAAGAAAGATTTATTTGCAAAATTTTATAAGAAAAACACTTTTTTTTTTCAAAATGCTTGGACTTTTTCATTTATATAGCAAAAAAATAAAAATCCCAGTGGTAAATAAATACCACCAAAATAAAGTTCTATCTGTCTCAAAAAAATGCTAAAAAATTCATATGGGTACAGTGTTGCATGACCGCGCAATTGTCATTCAAATTGTGATAGCGCTGAAAGCTGAAAATTGACCTGGAGTGGAAGGGGATAAAAGTGTTCAGACTTGAAGTAGTTAATATCCATTTTTTTGAAAGGAAGAAAACCCTATTTTTCTTCCGTTACAAAACCCTGAAAAACGGATGTAAACGGACCTAAAATTGATGTAAACGGATGAAAAACAAATGTAAACAGATGAAAACAGATGTAAACGGATGAAAATGGCCGAAAAATGGATGTAAACAGATGAAAAACAGATGTAAGTGTTCTACCGACAGTGACGTTTGAAACTGTGGTCCCAGCTCTCTTCATGTCATTGACCAGCTCCTCCCTTGTAGTTCTGGGCTGATTCCTCACCTTTCTTATCATCAGTGATACCCCACGAGGTGAGATCTTGCATGGAGCCCCAGTCCGAGGGAGACTGACAGTCGTCTTTAGCCTCTTCCATTTTCTAACAATTGCTCCAACAGTTGATCTATTTTCACCAAGCTGCTTGGCAATTGCCCCGTAGCCCTTTCCAGCCTTGTGGAGGTCCACAATTTTGTCTCTGGTGTCTTTTGACAGCTCTTTGGTCTTGCCCATGGTAGTAGTTGGCGTCTGACTGACTGTGGGGTGGACAGGTTTCTTTAAAGAGCTCAGACAGGTGCTACTAAGTTAGATTAATGAGTGGAGTAGAGGTGGGCTTTTTAAAGGCGCAGTAACAGGTCTTTGAGAGCCAGAATTCTTGCTGTTTCTCAGGTGTTATAATACTTCTGTTCAGCAGTGCGAGACAAATACATTCTTTACAAATCATACAATGGGATTTCCTGAATTTTATTTATAAAATTCTATCTCTCAGAGTGGGAATGCACCTACAATGTGAATTTCAGACCCCTCCATGATTTCTAAGTGGGAAAACGTGCAAAATCGCAGGGGGTTCAAATACTTCTGTTCCTCACTGTACATACCATATATGACTCCTCTAGAATATGAGTGTCATACATCTCCGATAAGCCTTTAGTTGTGGCCATACAGTGGTGATTTTCTTTGGAGTGGGATACACAAACATTTCTGACAGCTGGAATTATTTGAAGATTGCAACACTTGCCTTTGTTTATCTGGTGAGCTCAGTCCTAAAGCAGAACTAAAGGCAAATCTTTTTTTTTTTTCAGTTTGGATAGAGTAAGGGATGGCTATATCCATGTCAGTTTTTTTTGCCATCTGTGTCCTATAGGGGAGATTTTTCTTCACTTCCTGTCCTATAGCCACAACAGGAAGTGAAAGGGAATCCCTTCAAAGTGAGGCAAATCCTGGTTGTCACCATTGGAAGATTTTCCCTCTATTCCTGTTATGGGGACAACCCAAAATTTGGGGTTTTCTTTTACTTTCACTCCTGATGATAATGGTAGACATGACAAATAGAGAGGGTGAATCTCCCTAACAAGGGCACAGACAGAACTGCCAAACACGCTGCTGATAAGGCCTGTGCTTGTAATTTACACTGGAAAAAATACAGCTGTAAGTCCAGTTCACTTCTGGTTTGTTCGCATTGTTGCCAGTCAAACCATGAAGAAGGAGGCGCTTGGACACCCGAAACGCATTGGCTACTTTTTGGTTTGTACCCCTGTGTTTTAATGGAAAAAAAAATTGTATCTGGACCTCTTGACAG